AGCAACTTATGGCTCTCCTTATTCTCTTCCTTCTCCAACCTCTCTGGTTTAAAACTTTCTGGTTCATCCCAGAAATTCGGGTCTCTGTGAATGGCAAATGCATTTACTAATACCATAGTGTCTTGCGGCACATCATACCCACCTATGGTGCAGTCTGCAGAGGCCATATGAGGGACAAGAAAAGGGGCTGCTGGGTGCAAACGGAGTGTCTCCCACATGATGCTTTGTAGGTAATGGAGCTTCAAGACATCCGGTTCGTCCATTAGCCTTTCTTCACCCACTTGAGTGTCTATCTCTTCTCTAGCCTTATTTAGTACTTCGGGGTGGTTAAGTAACTCAGACATTGCCCATTCTAATGTGACAGCAGATGTATCCGTTCCAGCAAGTATCATGGTCACAACAATCCCTTTTATGATTTGATCGGTGTAATATTCAGGCTCTGATTCCTGCAACGAAAGGAGATGATCGATCATTGTGTTTCCCATCTTCGTGCTACGGTGCTCGTCAACCAACCCTTGCAAGAATGCATCCATTCTTTTGGCAATGTTTATAACTTTCTTTTCATAGTTCCCAATCCAATTCAACAATGGGAAGAAACTGCGTCCGATATTCCCTATTTCAACAATTTGGATCAACTCCTCTATCAGCTTCTTGAATCGTGTTGCCTCCTCATATTCATCAGTCACATTCTCCCCATAATATCGTTTTCCTGCAACCATTCTCATGATGTTGTTAAACGTTAAATCAACAATCATTGATTTCAACTCCACTTTCGTAAAGTCTTGTCGTGAATTATGAGATAATTTCACCAATAGTCGCCTCACTTCATCTCTTCGTACCCCAAGAAACTTGTTGAGGCGGCTAGAGGAGAAGATTTCAATAGAAGTGATGCGACGGAGTTTGCGCCAGTGATCTCCGTATGACGAGGTGACCACCGTGGTGTGGTTGTAACCTACATGCTTTCCCGTAAGTGATTTTGGTCGGTTGGCCAAAACAATATCGTTCTTGGTGAAGCATTCTTTGGCGGCTAATGCTGATGATATGACAACAACAGGGCGGGAGCCAAACCGGAGGGAGATGATTGGACCGTACTTGTCCGCAGGACTACGGAGTGAACGGTGAGTGGGCAGTTTTAAGAGACGGATGTGGCCAATTATGGGGAGAGATGGTGGGCTTGGAGGAAGGTTCTTGTACCGTTTTCTGGAGAGAAATAAGAAATTGAAGGCGAGGAGGAGGATGAGAGCAAAGAGAGAAGAATACAGGATGATATGATCTTCCATGTTTTTGAACCTGTGATCCTCCAGTGGAGCGCATATGCATGTATAAATACTATTTACGAAGGGTAAAAGCTAAAGGACATGTGAGACATTATTACTATTTTTTTTTAATAGAAATGTAGAATATTCATTTGGGACGTACAGGTAATGTATGTTGTAATGAATGTTGTATTGAAAATCTCAATGGAGTGATTTAATGGTTAAAAATTTAAAATATTAATTTAAAAATATTAAATTTAAAATTTTAATTTAAAAATATTAAATTTAAAATTTAAATTAGTTAAAATAAAATTAAAAAAGCAATTATTCCCTCTTACATCATGAAACATTCCGTTATATAAAAAAATAAATGTTGAAATGTAAGTCCTTACGTCAAGGATGCCCCTCTACCCAAAGTAGACCAGCAAAAAGCAAAGTGAATTGGGACTTCTGTTTAAAAAACGAAGTGACTTGGGAATTGGGGACTTCAGGTCCTGTTCCACGACGTTTCTTGCTGATGTAGTGGCATGCGCAACAGCACTAATCATATTCAGATTCCATACCAGATATTTTGCTTTTTTATTTTTAATTTTTTTAACAATATTTTATTTATTTTTTATTTTTTTATCTTAGTTACATAATAAAAGACAATCAATTCTTATCGCTTATTTTACCACATTCAAATGTCATGCAATTTGAATTTAAAATTTTTTACTTTCAATAAAAAAAAATAATTATTAAATTATTTAAATAGTTAACG